TATTTCTTCATCAAACTTTGCAGGTCTGTCAGGTACATGCTGAACTGGTGCCTTTTGCTATTTAGAAATTTTAGAATTTTTTATGTTTTAAGTTTCTATGGCAACAAGATGGACTTAGGTTCTGTGAGGGTAGGGTTCGTTTCCGGAGCATAACTCATAAACCGTTCAATAGTTCTTCATGAATCTTTGCAGGTTTGTCAGGTTCATGCTGAACTGAAGCTCTTTGCTATTTAGAAATTTGAGATTTTTTTATTTTTTACGTTTCCATGGCAACAAGATGGACTTAGGGTCCAAACTCTTCCTTTTTTTACAATTTCCATGACAAGTTCCACCTCGGTTAAAAAAGGTTAGGGTTTGCTTAGATTTAATTATGTCATAAATTCTGCAAAAAGGGCGGGGGATATAGCCACGTTAGTGGCAAACTCTTGTTTGAATCACTTGTGTGACAATCAAAGCCTATCATGTCATATATTTTCGTTGGGCGTCTGTTAAATGGGATATGATGGGGACTAATCCATTTTACCACTTGGGTAACATGCATTGGCCATTGGGAGAAGTCAACCATGACATTTGTGATTTTGAAGGTGTCTGAGCCCATGATGGCTACATGTTCACCACTATTGATATGTGTACTGTGTGGGCTTTAGACTTGCTTGGTGTGGATGATGTATTGAATTGTGGGATTTCGATACTAGAACCTGCTATAGACTAAAAGATATGACTTCGGCTGATATGTATGCATCTAGGTGTATACATGTATATTTATATGCCATGGTCTTACTTGTGTGCACGTGTACTGTATGAACAATGTGACTATGGTCCATGTCACTGGATGGCGTACAGCTGGACATTGATGGCGCACATGACTGGATTAAGTAATGCGAACAATAAGACTGGTTCATTTGAAGATGATTTAAATTAACTCTTTGTATGTTCATAAATATGATTTTTTTTCAATCAACTTGTGAAATAAAAACTTATCCATTGTTCTATACGTGTTCAGCCTATCTCTTTTTTACACACCTTGATGTTGGTCTTGCTTGTGTTTTCATCTGCAAATAATTAAATTTTCGTTGTGTTCATTGAAATTCCTGTGATCTGATTAGCTGAATTGGTCACGTGTTATTGCATTCATTTCCCAATGAATGTAAAAAAATTAAGCCACGCCCACCGAGGCGCACTACTTTTATTACTTCGGAATGTCAGGGAATCCCAATATTGCAGTCGAGGGAATTCCCTTTCTGCTCACGTTTATCGCCATGCACAAGACATTTAGCGACTTTCATCCATGTTCATTGTCCAAACATACCTTTGAAACCGAAGGCCGAGAATGAATGAAACCGCAAACGTGCAGGCTCGCTGGCCTGTTTTTTTTCTGCTCGCCTCTGTTCAAATTTCATGTCTTCGGGTTTTATTTCTAACTAGCGTTTTTCCAACTGTGTTTTACAGTAATCAGGGAAGTAATGTTTGAATCTGGCGGTAACTGACCATGTAATTTGAAACAGCCGCCTTGTTCCGGACATATTTCTTCCGGTTCATTACAGTTTGACTGTTGCAGTTTATTACGGCAGAAATCAACAGTCTTGATACTCTCAATTGATGTTTATTGTCCGTTATTCCTTGACAATAATAAGTGAAAAGCTCATTCGTTTGGATCTGTTAACAAGCTTTTCCTTTGAACGTTAGCGTTGAATGAACAGTGTTGAGGTTCAAAAACATCTGTGTTCTGCAATAGTTCATGACACGTTTCTCCAACATGGAGATCTTTCAAACTGAAGGTGACAGTGGATGAGGTCACATGACCAGTAACTAATCCCATGATGCAACACAACTGATTATAAGTCACAAGAACTTTTGCCTGAACCTTGGATCGAACCCTGGACCTTTCTGCTGCTAGTCCCGTGAAATAACCAACAGACCATTGTTGCTGATACAGTATGTGAAATTCATAACATTTTTGCATAACAGATTTGCAACATAAATTATACATTCTGCACTAACACACTCGGCCTCTTAAACAGACCGGGCTGTTTAACACAAATGTAACAAAACAGTGCAGAAATCACACGCTTGTATATACAGACACACTGGTTTTTGACTGATGGCTAAATTCGACAAAATCACGACTTGCTGGATAACAGCAATATAAGCTTGCTGATCGGTTGACGAAATTCACCAGTTTGAGTTTTCAGTACAGCACTCCTGACGAAACCCTTCTGATCAGGTTCAACAGACATAACTCGAGGAAGTATAACTGGGTGCTTCATCTCCTCGGGGATATTAGCTCTGCCAATGCGACCCCCGACTCTGAGAATTCCACTTTCAAGGATTGGGTCAAGTTTATACACTGAACTTGTCCTTAGAACTCTGCCTCGTTAACCTTCACATCCTTGAAGCAGTTCAAACTCTTTGCTGAAGTGTATTGTCTGCACAAATTGAAGATACTCTTCTCTGCTCGACTGAGGTCCTCCACAGAAAGAGATCTGTTGCTTTTAGCATGCTTCTTATTGTTGTATTTATGTTCATTGCTCTGTGACTTGAGTGAGTCAAACAATCTGTGATATATGGCTACAGCACGCTTGAGACGATACCAGCTGGAGTAATGTTCCAACAATTTATTCACAGTGATGTGAGAGCAGTCATCCTGTGATGCATCGGTTGCTGTGACTGTTTCTTCAAGCATCTTCTCATCATGGATAAGCTCTGGCTGTACTGGCCATTCTGATTCTGAAGAAGAAAGAAATTTGGGCCCATGAAACCAGTTCATACAGGTAAGTAGAAGTGATGCAGATACACCTCTGGATGCAACATCAGCCGGATTGCTTTTTGAATCTACATACTTCCACTGAGTAGGTTCTGAAAAGTCTCTGATTTGCTTGACACGGTTGGCAACGTAGACTTGAAACCTCTTTGTTTCATTGCTGATATAGTGTAACACCGTCGTTGAGTCTGTGTGGTAAGTGACACATTCAGGTGTAGTCTCCGGTTCCTTCATTAACAGTTGTCCGATGTGAATAGACACAGTGGCTGTAGTTAATTCCAACCTGGGAACAGTGATAGTTTTCACTGGAGCAAGCCTAGACTTTCCAATCAAGAAAGCTGTGTGAATACCGCCTTCATCGTTAGACATACGTAGATATGCTACACAACCGTATCCAACAATGCTTGCATCGGAGAATACATGTAGTTGAACAGAAACAACATGTCCAAAATCAGCAGGTTTGAGACATATGTCAATCCGTAGTGTACTCAAATGCTGAAGCTCTTCTATCCACTGCTCCCATGATGCCTTGTATTCCACGGGTATGTCATCATCCAATCCGAGCTGCTTGTTGATGCACAGATCCTGTAAAATCTTCTTGGCTGGTAACAAAACCGGTGCAACAATTCCTAAAGGATCGTAGAGTGACGACATCGTAGACAAGAGTCTGTGAACTAAGGAAGCTTGAAGCCACCTTCTGCACATGATTTCTGCAAAGAGTCCACTAAGTTAATAGCTGCCTCTTCTGTGCATTCCGATTTGAGACAATCATCAACATAAAAATTGTTGCAGATTGTGTCAGCAGCAAGGCTTCCAAACTTCTCTTCAGCTTTCTTTGCAGCAGCTTTGAGAGCAAAGTTGGATATGCTGAGGGAAGAAACTGCTCCAAAAATGTGAACAGCCATCCTATACTCATGTAGCTCCGAGTTCAAGTCACCATTTGGCCACCACAGAAAACATAACAGATCATGTTGATGAGGAGGAACACGAACTTGATAAAACATGGCTTCAATATCAGCCATGAAGGCAACTGGTTCATTTCTGAATTTGGTAAGAACACCTATCAGCGAGTTCGTGAGATCAGGTCCTTGCAAGAGTCTGTCATTTAAAGAAAACCCTTCAAACTTTGCTTTGCAGTCAAATACTACGCGGATTTTTGAAGGCTTTTTCGGATGGTATACACCATGGTGTGGCAGGTACCAAACCTTTCCTGGTACAGGTGCCAGCTCATCACTTAGTACCTTGTAGCAGTGTTTGAAATACCTGCCTGCCCGACCGTCCAAGACGGGTTGATTTCAACTCGGGCTGCCAGATTTTCAAATCCCCCTGCCCGGCGGTCGGGTTATATTTCATATGTAAAAATATTCTAAATATTTCCGGATGATAAGCATTATTTACATGATGTATTCTAGGATATTAAATACAAATCTAACCTAAAAAAGTGTTTGCTATTTCTTTTCTTGCATTACTTCATGTTCAATGAATTCGATTTAAAGTTTTAATTAAATTATTCTGAGAAACATATGATTATAGTGGGCAGGCAGGTTTTGGTCAGGGCTGGCAAGTATTTCAGCTAGCCAGTCCTGTGGTCTGGCTGAATTTTTTTTTGAGTTTCATACCCTGCTTGTAGGCATATCCATTGGAAAGAAGACTATCCATAAAGGCAATATAATGTTCATGATACTCATCATCGTGTAGCATTTTCTTCCTTTGCCACATTGCTCTCTTCTTGGCTTGCTTTCTGTTGTTGGAAAACTCAATGTCTGGATCCTTGAGAGGTAATGGCAATTCAAAGTGGCCGTTAACTTCCGCGATGCCTTTATTTGCCATGTCGATAAACTGATCATCCTCTCTAGAGAAACCACGTTCACCAGGTAACATTCCAGTGTCCTCGGGATTAAAATCCATTTCGAACATATTCAGTATCACATCAGTGAGACATTCTTTTGCCGAGGTGAGTTCTTGGAAGAGCACACGATTGCATGTGAGCGTATTATCAACTGGGTTGAACTTGATATGAAGCGGCCCACTGACAGTCGATCCATGTCTGTAGAGTACGGCAAAAGGACCTTCACCTTGAGATGGAATCACTTGCTGAGGTTGAAGTGCAAGAGGACAGTTACTCCCAATAAGAAGTCCAATATCCAGATGAGGTAGGTATTTGGGCAACTTGTCAGCCATAGCACACAGATGAGGCCATTTCTTCAGAATGTCAGGATTGGGAATCTGACTATGACTTTCAGGTATCTCCTGTATCTCGAGTGAAAGTTCTTGGAAGCATCACTGAATTATCACCACTGAGATCTGACACAACAAGACCTTCCACAACATGCGTACTCACAACATGAAGTCTGTGCATAGTCCGAAGTTTCAGTGAAGATTCTGTAGATGTAGTCTCAAGTCGCTGTCTAAGATCCTCCGTTATAAAGCAGCCAGTACTCCCGTTGTCCAGTAGTGCATAGATCTTCACCAGCTTGTCACTTCCTTTTTGTTGAATCAGAACTGGAAGAATAGCTTGGAGCACAGTATCTGAAATAACAGGATCAATGTTGTTGCATGAAGATGACACAGACTTCTCTTGATCTGGAGATACAAGAGAATCACAAGCTTCAGAAGACTTCTGATCTACGTTCTTACTTGCAGAACGGAAGTTCTCATCATGCAGTATTGTTGGATGACACTTTCCACACTTCTTACAGCTTCGTTTCTTCATACAGCCCTTTACCATGTGATTAAAACCAAAACATCCAAAGCACATTTTCTTCTCTTGAAGATATGTCCTCCGTTCACTGAGAGATTTCTGACCAAACTGTTTGCAGGATTCAATGTCATGAGGTACTCTGCAGAAGTAGCACGAAACACTTCGGTATTTATCCTGCTTGTGGTTCGAACTGTCTACACCAGTCACGAAACTACTTGACTTGGCTCCATCTTTCTTTAAACTCTTGCCTTGTTTGGATCCCCAGTGAACTTGACTCTTGGATATAGCTTCCTTTCCAAACACAGGCTCATTAGCAGATCTAGAAGCAAACTCAATGAAATGCACAAGATCTTCAAAGTCAACAGTCCTGTTGCTATGAAGTTGTTCTCTGGTCACATGATCACGCCATTTATTCTGTAGATGCACTGGCAACTTCAACGCAACAGCTTGCAAGTTAACAGAATGATTAAGAACAGTCATGTGTGACATAGTCTTCATTGCATGAAAACACTTGATGAGGAAGTGAGAGAATTGTTTAAGTCCATGACAATCATCATGCTTGATCTGAGGCCATGATAGAACTTGATTAACATAGACAGTTGAAACTTTGTATGGGTCGCCATACTCACTACTCAACAGGTCCCTGGCCTTAGTGTAGCCTTCCTCTTGATCCATGTAGAGACATCCAGCGATCAAGTCCTTTGGTTCTCCCTCAAGCTGCTGTTCTAGGTAGTAGAGTCGATCTTTAGAGCTGCTAGTGTGAGGAACAATACGGGCATCAAAAGACATGATAAATGCACCATATTCTGTAGGGTCACCTTTAAACTTTGGCACCTTAGGCTGAGGTAACAACATAGCTGTTGCCATCTGTCTATGAGCTTGCAAAATCAGTTCATTCTGATCATGTAAATGCTGGGATGTATCTTCTGTCCTAGAGCTTTCCATACCAGGACACTTTGAAAAGGATGGTTGAAAGTCAGAAGCATTAGGGTTAAGCCCTTTCTGATGCACAATATCGTCCAAAGTTTAATGTTTGAATACAAGATGAGGTCTTTTGTCAAAAGGTTTCAAAATAGGGTTACCACTTTCAACAATACTGGCATCTGACAACTGGAGCTTAAAATCAGCACTATATGAACTACCCACTCCAAGACATTGGGGCATGTTGCCAGGAGATCTTAACATGTCAGGCACAGTAGCTTTGACATCAGGCATGGAAGGCTTGACAACAGGCATGGAAGGCTTGACATCAAGCATGGAAGGCTTGACATCAGGCATGATAGGATTGACACTAGGTCTTGATGCTACAGAGATCCTATTATCATGAACAACCAAAGTGTCAGAAACAAGGATTGCACTGGCAATACACCGTTAGGATTCATGATGTTGTAACAATCACAAAACTTCAATGAAAATTCACAAAATTCAAAATCCAAAATATGTGCAGTCTACGTTCAACAGTCTACATAATGTCTTCCAAATCATTTAGATACAGGGAAGATTTTCTTGAACTATATTATGGCAGAAATCAACAGTCTTGATACTCTCAATTGATGTTTATTGTCCGTTATTCCTTGACAATAATAAGTGAAAAGCTCATTCGTTTGGATCTGTTAACATGCGTTTCCTTTGAACGTTAGCGTTGAATGAACAGTGTTGAGGTTCAAAAAAATCTGTGTTCTGCAATAGTTCATGACACGTTTCTCCAACATGGAGATCTTTCAAACTGAAGGTGACAGTGGATGAGGTCACATGACCAGAAACTAATCCCATGATGCAACACAACTGATTATAAGTCACAAAAACTTTTGCCTGAACCTGGGATCTTTATGCTGCTAGTCCCGGTTCATTGAGGTATGAATCGAAAAACCAATGTGCAAACTTTTGTAAGAATCCGCTACCTCAACTAACCGAAACAAATACACAGTCAATCCTTAAATAACACCATCATTACGTTTTCTGAAAAAAAAGATGTCTTACATGCATGAGTACCTCTGCAATTTAAAATGATTTATCAAATCAATGTACTCATTCGGAAACAAGACATGCTGTACATACATCCCTGTCTTGTTTCTATACAGTGCAATTAAAATACTGAGCGTATATGTGAATACATTGACTTCAAAACCGTTGTTTTCCTTATATTCTATTCTTTAAAACAAAGTGTACAACCAAATATTGATCAGTTTGATGCTTTTTCTACAAATATTAGATAAATACTTCTGAATAAAGATTGTTATACAAAATAGCCCTCTGGCAACCAGCCTGCTCTCAAAGTTGTAGTATTCTTGAAAATAATTTCCACATAATATTTGAAAAGGCATGTGCCCTTGAAATTATGAGGATCTGAGGTTTGTAAAGGATGTGTAATTCAGTCTAATAAGGAAAAGATATATGAATGAACAACATCGTTATTACAATTAGTAGCTACGTTTCGGTGTAGGTTCTATAACACCGTTATCAAGCAAGTGATCATGTTTAACGGTGTTATAGAACCTACACCGAAACGTCGCTCCCATTGTAATAAAGAAGTTGTTGATCCTATCCTTACTTAGTACAACTTCTTTATGCCTCTCAAAGAAGCATGTTGGCATCTTAGAAATGATGGCATACTACAAGAGAGGGTGTGTTTAATCTCATTTCTACCACTAGTCGGTTGGGAGATTTCACCTCCTTAAAATCTAAAATAGAAGAAAGCATTTCCTCTTCATCGTACCGTCAATATATAAATATTGTCAACAGATGGCGACTATTAGTCTCTCATATAATACTCCTTATCAATAAACTATTTATTACCCACAAACATATCTGGGAAATTTTTATCCATGAATCTGTCATTGATTTACTTGTATCTTAAGATGGTTGTGTAAAATATTTAGGTTTATTGCGCATGTGTTTGATGCAGAAAAGGCACCTGCAAAAAGATGTTGTGAGAAAAAGTATTTTGTCTTCTTAAATTCACATTACAAGCTTTCAATCAAATGTGTAAATCGGCGACATTATTGCTCTCCCTGAATTACTTCAAAACGTATATACTTTGCATGTACATTTCTAACTTCTCACTCTTCCTTCCACCACTGTACGTGGCTGTGTTAAACCTGGCTGCATTTTCTCTTCTTTTCAAAACGCTTCTCGATGATTGTAAATATCAGCAAGTAATTAAGGTACCTGTATACATCATAAACATTTACTGAAGTAGAACACGAAACGGTTCGCTCTATATATTCACGTCTCCTAATACTAGTTTCTGAGTGCGGGCTCCAAGGCTGTCCCAAGCATGAGTTATCTGTCTCTGCTCACCGTTAACAATAATATCGGAGTGTCATGGATAATGATCGGAACCGTCCTGTAACTAACCTCAAAACTGTTATGCTTGTTCAGATATCTGAAGATAACCATACACTCAAGAAAACCTCAATAGACAATCCAATGTTTGTGTTCTAAATGAAGAATTATTGTTTTAAAACGTCGAGTGAAAAAATTGTGCGATTAAGCTCAACCTGAAAACTAGTAACACCAGATATAGGCCTATACGTATTCTTGCAGGTTTTTGTTGATGAGCGGAGCCCCACTCTTGCTTTTTACCGATAAAACGTTCACATCAAATTTGTCCGGCAATTTCCAGGTCAGCGCTCCACACAGCGCTTGAGTGGTTGTTGCTTGAACGACGCGACTATAATTAACTGGAAGCTATGCTGTGCGAGGAGTTTGTTACTTGCAAAGCCTGAGAAGTTGGCGGGATAGGTCGAAGAGAAAGGTACGTTAGTACCAGTCATGTTAATACCATTGCTAATTATATCAAGTTTTTTACGTTGTTTGTTGTACATCTCTTCCAAATAATTTTACTCTTCAATTGCCGATATATTTACAGTGAGTTCAGAGACTCCAGGGGACCTCCAACCTCACAGAAAAAGCTGAACTCCTTAAATAAGCCAGTAGGTTAAAATCGATGCGATCTAGGCCCATAACATCAAAAAGAAAGTTTAGGTGAAAAAAAATTACGCGAACTCAGCCAGGGAAAGGAGGAGGGGGAGTAAATCCTAGAAGATTTTATGCAAACAAATCAAATTCTCTATTCCAATTTGCCCATTTTTTTATACAGTGTCGTTGGCCCCGTGTCGTTAGCAAAAGCAGTCTATCAAAGATGTCAATATTAGGATATTGGGATAAAACGTCTATGCTCTAGACTATTCAACACGACAATCCATGTAGTTAATCTACTCATTGTTCTCCCTTTTCCTCCTCTTACTCACAGTTGTGGCCTATCAGAAATACACATGCAGTCTGTGCAGTTAATATAAGGGTAACGCTATTTTTCAGGGCATTATCATTTGCAGAAGGCTGAGGTTTTCCATTAACTACCCGACAAAAGAATGCAGTTGAAAAGACCGAGGGCTTCTGCAAGTGATAATGCCCTGAAAAATAGCGTTAACGTTATAATAGCTAAAATGGATGGAATTTGTTATCAAATAAAAAGAAACAACAATAACGGTTTTGAAACATTTACTGCAAACGAACATGGATGTCACTGACCAACTTTTACAAATAGGGAAACGTCATAGAACAAACCAGATGACATCACTATTAAACATGATGTCACCTATACCTATTCTATGACGTTACCTAACAACGGGCGTGATAATGGCCCGTCGTCAAGCAATATGAGGGCATTATCAAGTTACACTGGCCTGCTCATTTTTTTATGACACGCAGGCGGCTTAATGATAATTCTATCCATTTTAGGTATAATGCACTGTTACATGGTTATTACCCATTTTTAAGGTTGTATAGCAATAGGGTAGGCCAAATGCTATTTTTTCAGGGCATTATCATTTGTAGAAGCCAAATTCTGATTAATTTTGATATGCCGATAAAGCCAAGGGTTTTCACAAATGACAATACCCTGAAAAATAGTGTATTTAGGTTTTTATAGCTAAAGTAGTAAATTCGGTAGAATTTGTTTCTAACTAGCCTTTATATCAGGTACTGGTATATCCTTGCACTTGCAGTCATCCACCTCATTTCCTAATGTCTGCAAGCTGAAATAAATCCAACAGTTTCTTGTGTAATGCACATGTTTAAAGAAAAACTGAAGCTGTGGTCACTGAAGAGGGGATGGGTTTAATACATGCAGACAATGAGTTGCTGCTTGCATGTAACAGAGGAAACAGCATATCAATAAATATAAAGCAAAGTTCCATCAGACAATTTTTGTGTTTAGTTTTTGTTATTGTTTTTTTCTAGCTGTAAGTTAATGCATTTTCTCAATTTCGTTCAATGTTGTATTTATGAACTGATTGGCAGGTTGAACCAACTCATCTCAATGTTGTTTACAGCAACAAGAATCAGATTATAGCTACCAATGCCTTGAAATGATCTTATTTTTTAACTTATCCCGCATTACTCCTTAATACATTCACTGCTCAACTTTAACAGTAGTGAAAGCTGTGATTGATCCTGCTTGAAGAAATAACTTTAGATGTTGTTCTATAGCAGGACCCCCAATCACTAGCTGCCACGTCATACCAGCAGTGGTAGACATACGTGACTTCATATCACTATTGGTCATGACACAGTACAGAAATGTTTCTAAATTGATCCCAATTTTGCTGCTTGCTGTCCTTGTGACTTTCTACGTTCCTATATAAAGACCCATGTCCTTTCCCCCTTTTGACGGGTGTAATCTGGTTTGGTGTAATTTATATTGCAATAATATGTATTATTAGCACGTGAAGTCTTTATATTTTTCACATGTTGTTCCATCCGTGTACAAGATGGGTGGGCCGTTGGGCAGTGCGACTAGGCCTACGCTACCTGCCAACACTACCTTAGGGTGCGCCTACGGCCATAGTGTGCTATCCAGCTTTCAAGGCCAGTCTTATATCAGCAGGGGGCACGGGCGGCCCAGTCGTCTAAGGCGCCGGGATTCACTGTGCAGAGTTGCGTCCCTTGGGCATGCAAGAAACCTATGATTGTGGGATCGAATCCCGGTTCGCCCTGATTATGTTTCTAGGTTTGTCAGCACCATACCTGTGCTCGTGGGTCTAATCGAAGTGGTAAACGGCTGAGACCTGCATCAATTCGGGCTTTCCTCCCACATTAAGCTGACACGCGGTGATATAACTGGAATACTGTTAAAAGCGGCGTTAAACCAAACTCACTCACTCAGTTATATTGGTGCCTCCTGGCAACACCCCAATTGTTTTTCCTGTCGGCGTCCTTTATGGATCCGGCGTGGATGCATTCGTTTATGCAAGCCATGTATCAAGAGGCGCATACGCCTCCCTTTGTTCAGGCGCCTACGCCTTCTTATCAACACAATACCTTAGCGTCTTCGGTGGCTTATGCTCCGCCTACACTACAGACAAATACGTCCACCTAAGCTCGTACGATATCCTAGGCACCGATCACGTCTTTGGCGACTCATACGGTCCCATCAACGGAAAGGGCTGTGCCAAGGGTGAGCTTGGGTACGCCGCCAGACGACCATCCAGGGTGTACGTTCTCAACATTCTAAGGTTGGGGTATCGCCTCCGCTTGAGAGCAGACCCTCCGTTGACTATGGAAAAAACATCACATGTTGGAAACCAACATTCAATCCTTGTTGGAGAAAAGAGCCTTAGAGGTTGTACAGACCTCAGCGTTAACTACGGGGTTCTCCCATATTTCTCGTTCCCAAGCAGAATTCGAACAAGATGCGGATGATACACAACCTTGCAATATTCAACAAACATTACCTAGTGCATCCACCGTATTTTCGTCTCATTACCTTGACACTGCTTAGGACCAGGATCAATGCATACGATTCCCTGATCACCTTGATCTGCAGGACGCTTACCTGTTTGTGACTATCCCCCAAAGGGACCGACGGTTGTTCAGGTTCTAATTCAATGGTATCCACTACCAGTGGGTGGTCCTACCATTTGGCATTTCAGTGGCCCTTTGGCTTTTTACCTGTCTTACCAAGCCAATAGCTGCCTATTTGCACCTGGGGAACATTCCGTTCAAGTCGTAAATAGACGACTGCATACTGAATCATCCAGTAATCAGCGTTTCTATTTCGTCAACAAGACTTCACCAGGCGCCTACTTTATCAACTGGGTGGATAATCAACACGACGAAGTCAGAATTGATTCCATCCTACCGACATCCTACCGATTCATAAGAGGGTTATTTCAGACCAATCTAGACATCCTATCAGTGCCAAGGGACAGATGAATAAAAATCCTACGTCATCTGTACCCCGCCCTACAACAGCCCATTACACTTCACCAATGGCATGTGCACTCTCAGGACTTGACGATCAGGGGTCGATTGCAATTATGACCAATCCAACAGTTCCTCACTCCTTACCTCAGATGACGGGACCCATCAGTATCCATTGCTCTACCAGCCCACCCGAGGACCTCATATCGAATGTCTTAGGTGTCTCCTTGACAGAGCTTTACCGATTCGTAGGTGCTTCTCTGCAGGTTTAGGTGTGCACCTACAGGACCAGACAGCTTCAGGACTTTGGTCCGGCGCTTTGTGCACTTGGCACATCAACAACCTAGAGATGGAGGCGCTCATTCTAGCAATAACACATTGGCACGAGCGCCTTCGAAACTCCCTAACTCGCCACAATAACTAAAGGCCCTTTTACACAGGGCTACGACCTTTGTGCCACCTTTGAGCTATCTAAAACAGGCCAGGATGCTCAATAGTCGCCTAGATCCAGAAAATCATGTTTCTGGCATGATGTCTTGTGTCTACTGCGTCTTGAGTCTTTCTTGAGTCGAGTTGTTTGGCGTCTGCAACCACAATGAAACACTGCAGGTACAAGCCCTCTATTTATTGGCAGGCTGAAGAGACACTACAGGTAGCTGAAAAGAGGCAGAAGCATTGCCATGGTGTCTCAAGGGTTGCCTTGGTTGCCGAATGGAGGCACAGCGGTCGCCACAGTCACAGTTCAATGCACGCTGTTGGTCGCCCAAAGGAGGCAGAAACATCACCCAGATTGACGGGAAAATTTGCAGCAGAATGCATCTATTGCCTGGCGACCATTGGGCGACAACTGTGGCTTCATTCTGCAACAACGACACTGTTTGTGCATCCCTTCTGCCTCCTTTGAGCCACCTTTAACCAACCAACCTCACCTTTGTGTGACTGTGTTGAACATGTTTAAAAATTCACCGTGACCATGGCGTCCATTATTATGTCTGAACCTCCTGTGTACCACCTTGGAACGACCTAGGCAACCATTCTGCCTCCTTTGAGCCTCCAACAACAACCTGGCAAATTTTATGGTCGCACACGGGAGCCACAAAGGTCGCCATCCTGTGTAAAGGCCAGCATCACGGTGGTCTCATGTCTACGGAATCAGGGGACCACTCACTCACACAGACTTTCAGGTTTTTCAACCTGGTGGATTAACTGATGTGCTGGCAGATACCCTATCCAGGCCAGACAGAGTGGCACCCAGAGGTGTTCCATCTCATATGTCAGAGCCTAGGTCAACCCAACATTGACAGTAGTATAGGTAGTTCTCCTGGAACCCTGAGACCGGTACACCCACGATGGGGCCAGATTTATACTCCAATACTACTACAGGAAGGGAATTTTTCTCTCTTCCATTAAAATGATGATGCTATTCTACGATCGACATGACATTAAACTAAATATTATTTGTGGTGAAAAAACGAGAGGTGCCGAAACAGGATTGTATCAAAGTATAGGAAAAGAAACAAAGACGAATGCCCCCAAATAGGTGTACTCCCA